CAATTACTGCTCATGTACTTTCGATGTTTGCGGTATAGAAGGACTATTCGAGTTAAAGGATTTCATTAGTTATCGATTAGAATTTCTTGAATCATATCACTTCGAGTCTTTCTTTGAACGGTTTATACAACATGTTAGCTATCGTCGATTTCACCAGACAGAATTCGACGATGGTGCTAATGATGATATTTATAAAGACATTGAAGATGTAATTAATTTCAAGTATAACATTAATTCACACAACATTGTATGCCTAATGGAAATTTTACATCATCGCCCTGCTTATCTGATGTATAGCATTTACTAATTATTACAACAAAGAATTACTATGACTGATATTGTTTTCATTACGATCACGATTTAGGTATAAATAGCCCAATTGATGCACTTAAATAAGCAATGCTTGTAAATAAGCGCAAGAGTGCAAATGGTTTAGTGAATACTCTAATCAATAGACTTCCAAGTGAATTTCACCTACCTGGTTATCAGTATTGCGGTCCTGGAACAACATTGGAGAAACGAGTAGCGCGAGGGGATCCCGGTATTAATCCATTAGACGCTCAATGTAAAATTCATGATATCAGCTATCAAAAGTATCCTGATTTAGAAAGTAGACATTGTTAATGCTGTATTTTTACCCTCGAAATGTACACCTTTTGCATGCGACCACTCAAGGACATAATTTATGTATCCGCCGCGCCCACCACATCTGGACAGATGCAGCGCTAAGTTTTAAGGGTGTTTTTGGGGTTTTTTGTCCATAACGAGGTTCGCTGCGATACGCACGCATTTCAGTCGACCTAAAAATGTAATAAGATATGTAATCCATTTATGTACCTACAGTTTTATAACTAATTAAATTTGTAGTATTATAGTTATAATTCGTGTTCTTCTTTTTACTTGGTGGTTCGTCGCACGCTGCTGCATTCGTGCAGTTATTCCTCAGCGTGATACACTTCAAGGGTTAATAATGAACCAGTGAAAACGGCGATATAAATTTACGTAACAGACATAAAGCGGATAAAACATTAGAAGAAGAAGCTTGGAAGCGTTTTAAATCAAGAGACGCAGCATTAGGTGAACAAATTGCGTCTTGAGCAGTTAGTAGCACTATGAAAGTAAAGAGAAAATTAGGGATGGGCTGCAAACGTCGATGCACACAAAAGAAGAAATTAATACGTAAACGAGGCGGTACGTTAGCTTATTTACGTAAAGCGGTAGCTAAAAAAATGAAAACCAACGGAAATGTAGCGGAAACAATAAAATCGGCGCTATCAACAGCGAAACACACGGTGAGAATATAACTACTATATCCCTTGACGGTGTGGTACATTGCGAGAGTATGTCTTCCGTTAAAAACATAACGGAAGAACATATTCAATTGATTCAGCTCGCTGATACTTACTTATATACTTTCTGGAACGTGCGTCCTGTGTACGAATGCGGTCCCTATATTCATCAAGTTCTATAGGAGTTGCCACTGTGACTCATTCTCTCATAGATGGAGTATCATATACTACGTACATGGTAGAAAAAGGTTCACGCATATTCGGATTAATAAGGACAACAGGTTTCTACCACCAGTGTCATGGGAAAATGTACACCAGTGAACATCCAAAATTGTTAATAGCACCTAAACAGCTTGATAGTTGGCGGTTTCAACAGGTTCTCGTATGTGGAAAAGAGTTTCCAGAAAAGTATAGAACTTATGTATCTAGAACAACATTGTTCACAGTGTCCTCAATATGTGACAATCGTTTTACTTTTGCTCTTCAATCTTAAATCAAGACTACTGCGGCTGTGTAACATACCTTAAGCGTCCATAGTTTTGGCTCAATCTGGCTTTTGCCTTTAATTTTGTTTTAATGTCATCGACCACAAGTAAAATTTTTTGAATTGGTTCCCTACTGCGGACTAGCAGACATAGCCTTCAGCATCCTAGTTTGGCTTCAACTTCGGCTTTTGCCGTTTAATTAATATTGTTAACTTATCGTCGATTTAAGAAGTAAGTAATATTCTAGTATGTAAAAACCTCTTAATTGTTATACTCTTGTAGTTTTATTGCTTTGATAATGGCCTGCTGATAATCAGACCGAAACATATGTCAGCCTTTATATAGGGTGTTTTTTTAAGCATGATAGAACTTTCCATCGCGATGGCTGTCAAATCAGCTGTCAGTTTGCGGGCTATTAGTGACATTTAAATTTAGTATAGTGTGACAAATTATCATGAATAAGACTCACTCTTGAACAACGCTATCAAATTATTTAAATTTACTTTGAAATTCAGTCATCGATTCGCAAAACGTATGGACGCCTTCGTGAATTTTACGGCATACATAATCGTGCATCTGAACTAGTCATTCGTCGGACTGTGGAAAGATTACGTACCACCTTTTCTCTAAAAGATGCAGTAACACCAATATGTCGAAGAAGAGAATATTGCCGCTGTAAATGAAAGTGTGCCAGAAAATCCAAAACTGTCTATTCGTCGTCGGTCTCGGCAGGTAGGGCTTTGCCCGTCCACTACATGGAAAATTTTGCACAAGAAATTCCGGAACCAAAAAATTTACCTGGAACTGATATTTTGATGCCCCATGTCATAGTAGGGGATGAAGCTTTTCCTCTAAGTACAAATCTAATGCGTCCATATCCCGGAGTTCAATTTCGAAACAATAACTTGAAACAAATTTACAACTACCGACATAGCAGAGCTAGACGATGTAGCGAAAACGCCTTTGGTCTACTTTGTAAAAAGTTTAGGATATTTTTTAAGAAATTAAACGTGGTTCCCGAACATCTCGACAAAATAATTATGGCAGCTACTTGCTTGCACAATTTTTTAAGAAATGATGTGTTCTTGGCAATCTGATGAACTAGAGGACCCGGCAGTCCCACGAGGATTAGATAGGGTAAGGATTATGGGAGGTAATTTTACTCGTGATGCAATGAATATTCGAGACAGATTCGCTGATTATTTCACTAGTCCTGAAGGGCTTGTCCGTTGGCAAGATGAACGAGTACACAGAGGCCGAAGACAACTTCAATAATATGTGGTGTTTTATGAAAAAAAATTCCTCTAAGTATGTTACAATGCATTATTATTATTAGATTATTACGTATCCAGTATTTTTATCTCTACGTACGGAATTCAATTTGGTGATATTGCCGCCATTTCGATCCCAAAGTAATCGTGAAATAAATATTTATTACTTTTTTTGTTGTGTTATATGATCAAAATGTTTTCGTTTCGGTTTTTTTGTATATTAACAAATACATATTATCTAGTCACCTAAGTATGCAGATTTAAAAAAAAAACGCTTTTATTTTGAAGATGATATTTTGTACAAACACCTATTGTCAATGTAAACGAGCTTTTTACCATGCAATAATATGAGTAGAACCCGTTCACTTGTCGGCCATCTTGTATTTTATTCGCGGGGTCAATCACGGTCAATTAAATTGATTGGGGGGTTGGTGTCCGTGTTTCGGGAGTGTTTTTGGGTTATTTCTTGGAAATTTGATTAATTTCTTGGAATTTGGGTTTTGATTTGATTAATTAATTAAAAATTGGTGTTATTTTGATCTTTATTGACATTTGATTTGATTAATGACGTAATGAATTAAATTGATTATTATGTAATTAAATTAATTGGTTGGTCGATTAATTAAATTGGGTGTTTGATTTCTGGGAATTTCCTTTGATTAATTTGATTCGCGGAATTCTCTCTTTTTTCCGGCTTCTATATGATCTGCATACGCCTTCCACTTCTTGGAAGTAATTGCAAATGGCATAGACGTGACAGACTTCTTTTTAGTTTCCTTTTCTTCAATTTTTGGCCAACGAAGGTGTTCCTTCCAAGCGTCTTTGACAATTATATTACTCTGTATTACTATTTTTTTACTTTTTAATTCTTTTTCTCAACTTCCTGATATACATTATTAATAATATTGATTAATATGTCTGAACCTATTTCCTGAGATTCGTCGTGATCTATAAGTTCATTCTCAACTGGTTCTCTCTTGCTGTGTTTATTCTCCTTATGGACTTCCAAGTCAGATAAAGTCGGTGCTTTCATAAAGAACACCATCTATTTCCATTGGAAGCTTCAGCAGAAAAAATATCGTATATTGAGGTTTTGATAGTTGCCTTCCAGAAAGAAGTTTGGTTAGCAATTCTTCTGGCTTTTGTGTTATTTGCTGCGACTTGGTACGTCATCTGTCGATTTAAAGTGAGCTTGGGTACTATAATAATAAGCACTGTCAGTTCCATAATGTCTGCCGATAAGAAAACATCATGCGTCAAATCCATCATTTCTGTCTCGCTGTAAATATTTACCTCTATGTTATTTAAAACTATATGATTTTCATTATACGCATTTTCAGTGACAATTTCTTCACCACTTCCTTCTTGACTAGATTTCCAGATTTTAAAAAGTTAGCTGTCATCGGTTTCATTTTTTGTCATTGAATTTTTAAATTTCAGCAATAATAGGGTCTTCCTGAAAAAAAATATTGTAACTTTTTTGTGTCTTACTGTAAAGTTTATAACCTGTAATTAAACATCTCATATACAAAACTTTTTTTCCTAATTGCAGCATGTCAATAAACAACATATAATATCGTAAAACTTTCAAATTTCGTCATGCAACCGACGACATGCCGATATTGGCCGAGCGTCGCATACGTCACTACGCGGGTTACCGATCGGGAGTTATACTGCCGTGTTAATCCAAAAGGGCGTAACTGACAAAATTTTACTTTTGAGATATTTGTTGTTTTACAATTTTTATATTGCCAACAAGTGGTTTTAAGTTACAGGTATCGTTATTTGCTAATGTCACGACAAATTAGGTTAAGTTTCTAACAATATTAACCACGGTTTATAATTTTTGCTAAATATATGACTTTTGATAGATACCACTTTTTAACCTAACAAATGTACTGATTTTCATTACCGAATAGGGCGTAACTATAAAAAAAAAAGTTTCTTGGCTTTTGTACAATTTTATTTCTGAGAATTTGAACGAAGACAACAATTTAAAGAGTAAATTGACTAATAAAAAGTACATAAAAGAAAAAAAAATTCTATTCTTAACTAGTCCTCATCAAGATCGGTAGGTGGTATTTGATGTACGGGTATATTTTTCCAAAAATTTAATCGATTTGTAGGCATAATGCTGCCTAATTTACTAATGATTAAGTCTTTTCTGTCCTTCGAAATTCCTCTGGGAGCAGTTTTGCAGTCTGGTTTAATAATTCCGCTTTTCTGGCACGCCGCTTTTAAAAAATTGAGTTTCACAGCAGGCTGATTGAAATCTGTTTTATAACTTATTGTTCTGTCTCCTCTCGCAAAACTAACTTCTACCATTTCAGAGATGTATGGGCGTGGGGTAATTTTGTTAAGTTTAAATTGTGAACAATTATCTTTCCAGAGATAAAAATTTTCGATACTCATTTCTATAACTTTTGCTGGCACACTCTTTATAGCGTCTACGTAGTCTAAAAAGTCATATATTTTACCCTTTCGTTTAAGAGCAACTTCAACACGGTGATGGAACGAGTCAGCCGCCATGAATGTATGACCAGGTTCAAAGTATCGCAATTCCAGGGATTGAAGGCGTACCTCATCGGAATTTACAATGTAAACAAGAAAAGAATACAGACACCAATTTTTGTTTTGGGCTGAACAATTGTCCAGCCATATAACAAGGTGTTCTATATCTCGGATTGACAAGAGGTACGCATAAAAGCTACTAATAATGTCTTCTTTGGACCGTCCTGCAATGGCCTCGTGCCAAACTACTGCGACGGGAGCAATTACTTTATTTTTACCAGCAACCACGAAACTCTCATTAAATGCAATGATTCTCGGAGTGAAGAGAATTTCCTTAAATGTATCGCATCTCGGAAGCATGATCACCTTAAAAATACAATAATTAATAAAGAATAATAAAACTGGATGAACTACCTTTTGTAAATCTACCGTAATTATTAATTTGTTTCGGTCTTGAATCGATGATGAATCAATTTCGTATCGTTTGCGAGATTCTGTATACTTATTATGATGTGTATTCCATCGTGTACACTCCTCACATTCAAAGTTCAAATTATTCTTCGTGTGTCCAGTATTCTTTCCGTGTTGCTCCATCTTTTCACACGTCCAGCATTCTTCATGCCCTAACTTGGCAAAGCTGATACTCATACTGCTTACAACTTCTCGATATAGATAATACGAAAATACAACGTTTGGGTGTTTTTTCTTAAAATCATCATACATCAACTTGATACTTATGTCGCTTGGAAGGTATCTTGTTTGTGGTGCATGCTCCCTTCGGTAATGGGAAATGGTTGGACCAAATGATTCGATATGCTCAACTATAATCTTTCGATCAATTTTCTTTGAGTTGTGTTTGCCACGTCCATCGGCTTTTGCTGACAGTGATGTGCTTTGTGCTTTTGATAAAACATTTCTTACAACTTTATCGTTGCTAGCTGCATATCCTAAAGTGCCAAGGAAAAATGTTTTACAAACATTTTGTGGCTCACCCTTGGCATCCTTGAAAAAATAATTAAAGGTTCTCGACCTTCTTGAATCGGATCTTCCAGTAGTGTTTCTTTTAATGCCCATTATGGTTGCACTATGTAAAATAAAATTCTTTTGTTCATGTTTAGACATGTCCCAATATTGCGTATTTATGATACGTCGATGGTTGTTATCAATTATCTTTCCGCACTTCTTTTTACATTGTGCTTTACAAGATCCTTGCAGATTGTGTTTTTGTTTAATATTCTGCGATTTTATTTGCATTCTTTCTTTTACTGATTGTGCATAGGTTTTTCGCTTTCGGACTTCACCTTTTTTGTTGCATACTTGCCGGATTACGTTATCCAACATTTCATCTAACAAGGAGGAAATGAATTGACTATCACTATTAACAAGTCCTTCATTAACTGTAGGAACTTCATTAACATTGCCAGCATAAATTGGAAACTGATGAATGGATGGGTTGATGATTACATGACTTAAAACGTTTATTTTGTTTACTTTTGGTGCTAACGATACTGATACTCCCGTACCACTTTTTAACCCAGCAGTACTTGCTGCGTTACTAATTGTTTCACTGTTACTTTGTTCTTTTACTGAATAACATTCAACATCCGGTATATAATCTGGGTCACAAACTTCTGCATCTTTAAATCGCGCTTTGTTACGTTTAAAGTCACTAATTTTATTAGCAAGTTCCTTATTTAATGCAAGGCTGACTAGCTTCTTACCTCTATTTTCCATAATTCACAAGAGCTACCACACTGAAACTATTTAAACCCGGAGTAGCTTACACACACACCCAACACAAAAAATATAGGTTAGAATACATTGCATATAAATTGGCGGTAAAATTGCAGGGTTATGTTAAGAGAAAAAGGCGTAACTAACGAAAAATTATGTAGATACGCCCATTCTACATAACAACATCACATACGACTTTTCTGTTTAACAAAACATCTTCAATTGTAGATACGCCCTTTTTTTACTCACGTTTTGCATCCAAAGTATATGTAGATACGCCTGACGATCTTAATAGAATGATAGAATTGCGTGTGAAGACACATATAAACGTATTAACTCACTTTCTGATAAAATTGCAGATACGCCCTTTTGGATTAACACGGCAGTATATTAGTGCATGACACTGATTCGACTTATTATGGCAATCTGCCATAAACCGAGTTCTGACTGGTTCGTAAAGGGGCAGTTAGATAGTCTGCCAAAGGTTGAAGTGTTAATGGTCGCCGCCTTTTTCTCGAAAAGTGAGTTTTCCATGCCACTCGGTTGAGGGGAGTCAAAGCCCAGAAGCAAATCTGTTATGGTTCATAGGAAGTATAATAACATCAAGTTATGTGTGTATAGTGCAAGGTATAGTGTAGGTACCTAATACAGTATGCACCTTACGGATTTCAACGAGAAAATTAGGGTGTTGGATATGTGGAAGTGAAAATAGAGAAAAATGTGTGCGCTGTAAGGGCACAGATATGCCCAGAACAGAGTTCGAAGTAAATCATATTCTGAATTACAATTACAATATTATATATCTATGGATTTTCGTCGATAACTGACTGAAAGTAAATCGACATTATGCACTTTAATTAATTAGAATCGTCTTCACAACAATACAAATGGGATTGGGATGTCAAATTCGCGGTATCACGTCGAACTTTTTTCGTATATTTCCTGTTGGGACGTTTATATACAATTTATTAGGTTCGCGATGACTTCTGATATCACACCCAGGCACAAATGCAATAATTATTCGACGCCTTTTTCCGTCAAAACGACGTTTTCTTTCTCTGAAGCGATTGTAAGCAATGCTACGGCTGAGCGCCAACGTGCGTTGTGACGTCACAGCAACGTTGGCGGTCATTCGAAACTTTTCAAACGCCGTTCATTTTAGAATCGTGTTTGCTAATCACAACGATTTCTCTTGACAAAAAAATGAGTACCACTAATTTTTTTAATGTGCTTGGAGTTCATTTTCAAGGTTTTTGAAAAAACGCGGAAAACCCCATTCTGGATCCATATGATGTTCCATCACTTTTAATGCAGTCTTATAATTACTGATGTTGATAGTAACTTCGTCGGCAGAAGTCTTTTTCAATTCTTCCCTTCTCTTCGAAATGCACTTTGAGTAGTCATCTACGTCATTCGCATTAAATTGATAAATACAGCACTTTCGAAATCCATTCTTAGTAATACTCGGCTGCACTCCTTCATCATATGCTTTCTTGAATATTGGAATTAATGTGTTTTTGGTAACTTACTTTGTTGTGTTCTGTTTATGTTGCTGTATATTTTTTTTTCCAGTATACCTTCAGCGACTTAAACACCGAAACGTCACATGGTTGCAATATATGTGCTGCGTTCGGAAATAAGCAATACAATATAATACCTTTTTGAGTGCATAAATTGTACAATTCCATACTTCTATGGGACTTGTGACCATCTAGTAGAAATAATAATTGGAAACTTTATTTATTGTGTTAAAAGCCATGACAAAAAAATGTTCGCTACAAATTCGTAGAAAGTTGCACTTGTCATCCAACCACTATCAGAGCGACCAAATACCCCGTCCGGAAGACTCATTGCTATGTCTCTTGGAATGCGTTTGTAAGGGAACACTGTCATAGGGGGAACAATTTAGATTATTGCGCACAATGTGTCAAAATGTGACACTTGTGGCTAAATGACGGCTGATTTAAAACTGAAAACGCCAACTAAATTTAAGTATTTGATAACGATATTACAAAAAAACTAATTCGTATATCATTAGATGAGAAAAAAATCTTCTTTTGATTGTTGTCATTATAAACGAGCAACGATCTGCAAAAATCGTTTTTTCCATGTTAATTGCCTATGTTCGGTTTTAAAATATTCACCTGGTATATGTAGTAAGTGCCTTGCACAACATAGGACCGTACACAAAACACCAAAACGAAAACCTAGCTAGCTGTTTACTTTTTATATGATCACGGCACAAAACTTCTCCCCAATACAAAGCAGAGTTTCGACTCTGCTCTCAGTTAACATATTGTCGGCTTCATAAGCATACCACGTAACTCCATTTTGGTCAACTTTACAGGAAACATAAAAAATATATTTTTGCATATAAAAGAAAGACAAAGGTAGTAGGTATGTAATGAAATAGTGCTGTTTTATATGTCTTTACGTTATATGTTTGAAAAATACACATAATTTTTATTTCTAGGTCAATAAAATGGAGTTACGTTATTTTCTTATTTGGTTTAGTTTGTACATACTTGATTTGCTAATTTAAAATTTTATTAAGCTTGTTGAAAAAATTTATTTTAAAGGCATACACATCTTCAAATGCAATAAAAATTAACATTGTTCTTGTACACAAATTTAGGTGGAAAACAAAATAACTAAATTTTCTTAAGCATGAGGAATTTGATCATAAAACGAATGAGTCTTCCAATAAACTATGTTTCAAGAATTGTAGGTGTTGGAACTTTTCAACTTTGATTTTTCTTCTTTCTTTATGCAGACGGGGCAAGCATTCAAATTGCGTAGGTGTTAAATGTTTGTACCTCTGGGATAAGATCTTCCAGTCTTCAGAATGGCGTAGCTTGAACTCAATCTGACCATTTGCATTATATTTAAGAGCTTTGATGTCAGTAACAGTAGCACCACCGGTAACTTTTTCTGGTCTATAATGTTGCTATAGAATTTTATATTATCCATTTTTTTGAAAAACTCATGCATAAGGTATTCCACATTGTAAGGTCGAGGATCTTTTCTAGCGGTCTTGCATAAGTAAACGTAATCAGCAGGGACGTTAATTTTATAATTTCGAACCTTCCTTTCAATACATGAATGCATTGAGTCAACCTCCATCTGGGTGTGCCCCTTTTGTAGATATTTCTGAATAATAGTTATACCACGAAGCATAGCCAAATTTAGTAGTGAATTTCCTAGAATAGAGTTCCTATTTTGCCCAGTACATCCATCGCTATAAATTATTATGGTTTGTGATTTATCTGTCATAGTTGGGATGACTTTGCTTTCCAAAAAGTTGACTATTATAGTTGAAAATTCGTTTGCAGTTAACCCACCTTCTGTCTCGTTCCAGAGGTAACAGTAACCATCTGAAGTCTTTAAATCATAAAGCGTGAAGTTATGTACTAGTTTCGTCTTGTAGTACATAGCACTCACATTTGACTTTGGAGAAAGTAGAACAGACTGTAAATCCATAGTGAACACCAAACTGTCTTTACTATTTTTATCCTTTTCTTTTTCGTCTCTTGCTTCTTTTTTAAATTCTTGGTGCTTTTGGTATTCTTCTTCAGATAGATTCTTAGTTTCATATGCCACACAAATGTCGCATAAATCCTTTTTGGGTGTATAACTTGATAAATTCATTTCATGAAATGCTTGGAAAAACTTTGTCTTGGAAACTGGAGTAATATAATAATATACCGACAATAATGAGATTCAACTTTTGGTAATGTTTCAAGAAAATTTCTAAGATTTTCATTGCTTTTTTGATATTTACGATGCCTAACTTCTGAAATTCGTGACTTTGATATTTCCGATTCATCGATTCCTTCCATGTTTTCGTCCTTATCCAGTTTAAAATAGTAGTTTCTTTCATCCTCAATGTCCTAAGGAACATTTTTATTTAACATGTTTTATTATTTAAAGATTCCATATTCTTCTTATAGATGGCATCAAAATGCATATTTGGCCAAATTTGGAGTTACGTGGTTTGCTTATGAAGCCGACGATATATATATATATATATATATATCTTGCATACTACCATCCTATTCAAACATATCAATATATCAAACCGATACTCTGATCCTATTCGCTATAGTACGACCCTAGGATCACACTATCGTATATATAAAACCACTACTACGAAGATATTACCGTGGCGCTTTGTGGTGAAAATTGGAACATTCGGTTGAGTTGTAGCCAAAAATAACAACCCAGTTGCATAACCTCCAGGGTATAAATTCTCAAT